GCCTTTGGGGGGGGGGTGGGTCATTGGTAAAAAAAGGAACCCTGCCCAAAGGGGGGTAACCCCCCCCCCCCCCCGCCCTTTGCTTGCTTTGCTTTTTTACCCAAACCGTGCCACCGAAAAAAGGTCGCGTCCATGGCCATCAGGGACATGCCCTGGACCTACCGCTCCGCCATCCTGATGGGCATCGTGCAGTTCCTGTGGTGCATGGTTGCCGCGATCGCCGCCCTGGGTTCCTTCGTCGCTCTCGAGACGGTCGCCGCCCCGGACGGCTCGTCGCACCGCGCGATCTACTGCCTCGACTTCGCGGACGGCGGCGACGGCGGCGGCGGCGGCGAGGACGTTTTCGCGGCCCAGAACTCGTGTGTGTGCAACGGCACCAAGATCTCCGACGTGAGTTGCGTCATAGATAGATGGATACCACATGAGTTTTCTTGCTCGTTTTTTTATTTCCAGAAAGTCTATTTATCTACAGGGTACACCCTTTCGAGATATAGCCTTTTTTTTGCCGACGATTAACGCAAGATAAAGTCCAGGATAAATTAGCAATTAGGTCATGCAGTTATTCTGCTGTTATTAATGTTGTTAATGTCGTCCTTGATAATGTTGTTAATTTTGCTGTTGTTGTTGCTGCTGCTGCTGTTCTTTGTCGACAGGGGGAGTGCGAGTTCAGCGGCCTTGGCCTCCCCCTGATGATGGTCTGGCTGTGCTCAATGGCGTGGGGCTGCGGCGTCATCCGTAACGTGGTCGCTTGCACGGTCTCCGGCTCCGTGGCGTCGTGGTGGTTCACCCCCGAAGAGGACTCCACTCCGGTGAAGGGCGCGTTCCACCGGGCAACCACCTCCTCTTTCGGGTGATTTTTTTTTTTTTTTCTGCTTGAGTTCCGGCCTGAATTCGTTTCGTTTGGCGTGTACAAGACTGGGGTGCTTCTGCGTTTTTTTTTTCTAACACAACACAAAGTATCGGCCATAGCATACTTTTGATTCCATCGGGCAACCACCTCCTCTTTCGGATGAGTGTTTTTTTTGTTCCTTTGTCCTCTTTAGTTCCGGCCTGAGTTTCGTTTCGTTTGACGTGTACAAGACGGGGGCCCTTCTGTGTTTTTTGTTGCCTACACAATACAAGATCGGCCAAAGCGAACGGTAGATTCCACCCCGCAACCGCCTCCTCGTTTCGAGCGAGCTTTTTTTTTTTTTTTTTCTGGACTGGAATTTTCGTTTGCTTGGTTTGGCTTTGCAAAATGTGGGGGCGGGTTGATGTGCTTGCCACTCCACCGATTTTCGTTTTTTTTCTTTTCTCGAGCGATGCAACACCACTCAAACTTTATTTTCACGCGTGTGTTCCGTGTTCAATCCATTGTGTTGTCTGTCACTGACACAGGTCGCTGTGCAAGGCAGCAGCGATCCAGCAGCTCATCGCCGCCGCCTGCAAGGTCGCGCAGCGCGTGCTCCGCTACGTGCCCTGCGCCACGACGCTCCTGGCGTGGCTCAACAAGGCCGCCAGCTACGTCCTCGCCTACACGGTCGCCTTCATCGGCATCTACGGTCTCAGCTTCAACGAAGGTGCCCTGCACTGCCTTTTTGTTGTTGTTGTTGTTGTTGTTCGCCTTATCATCGGAAGCTGCCGGTCTGCTCTGCATTGTTTAGTCGTTTTTTGGTCGGCGATGAAGATTACTGACGAGATGGTCTGTTGCCGTGTTTCGTTTTTCGTTTGAACCTCATCGGTCGACGTAGGTACCGAAACCAAAACACACCTTCCCAGCATAACATAACAGAGAGATACACTAGACGACTACCAAACTGTCTTCTTGAGCGAGCCTGTTACCCGCAGGGGAGATATCGCTGTGTGCTGCTCGGGAAATCGTGCAAGTTTAGGTAGCCTCCGCTGACGCTATGGATTATTTGCTAATCTACATACCCTAGACTCGTTTCTATAGATACGAGATGGATTCGTTATGACATATTAAGAGAATAGGAATAATCTCAATGAACCGAACCTCCCGAAAATATTCAAGATCAACCACCATCATCCCCCGACTCCCCCCCCCCCCCCCCAACGAAAAAAAA